ATGTTCCATTACCACTTATGCCACGTGCGGTGCGGTTATTCTTCAATATACACAAAGAATACATTATCTAGTGTAATATATCAAAAAAAGGAAAAGCTGACAAATTACAAATTAGTGAATAATGTAAATCAAGTTCAGTATATTCAAACAGATTTTGGTCACATGACTTCTATTCACAGAAAAATGATTAGCTTGCAAGTTTACCAAACAAAGCTATTTTCTATGCAAATTGTAAAATATTGATTACATTCATCAAACAAGTTGTTGTCTAATATTCATAAATGCTAGAAATAGCAATTCAGTTGGTTTTCTACTGTTGGTTTTAACAGGTAATAGAAACAATGGAACAAATTCTTGTTGCTTTTTATGTCAGTGCTTAAATATTAGTTATCCTCAATCAACGTACTGAATATTGTAGTAAGTTCTTTACGAGCTATTAAGAAATAACAGCAAATTTATTTCATGTACCAAAGTATACTCTTTAATGGAATGTACATAGCTCATTCTGCACATTAAATTCAAATCTCTGAATACTTTAATAAAACAAAGAACTGCAAATGCTGGAGATCTGAAAGAAACAAAAACAGAAATTGCTGGAGAAACTCAGCAGGTCTGGCAGCATCTGTAGAGAAAAGGCAGAGCTAATGTTTCGAGTTGAAGGGTCACCCGATACGTTAGCTCAGATTTCTCTCCACAAATGCTGCCAGTCCTGCTAAGTTTTTCCAGCAATTTCTGGTTTTGTTGCTGCTGTTGAGTATGAACTTTTTTGTATGAACTAATGCTAACAAACAATTGTCATCAAAACAGGCAAATTATCTAATGTAATTAGTGGAAATACTTGAAAATCAATTGCTCTTCATGTGCCAAAATTCTAGAATATTGTCAGACAAATTTTTAAACAAATAAAAATAACTGCAAAGGGGACTGTTGCTGGGACTTAACATGTGTTTCTTCCCCATGTTCTACTTCTGTGCCAATTTTAGTAAATAAACTTGTTCAAAGAAATGTAAATGAACAACATAATCTATTCTAATAATATATTACTTTTTCCTTATTTTAAAGAAATCGCAAATTCTGTAGAAGTGAAAAGTGAATCCGTTATCAATCAGCATTATGTACCCTGAATAGGGCATGGTGGGGGCAGGGTATAGCTATCTGAGTTATTCTGCCAATGGCACCACACCTGAGCTGAAGGAAATAATGCAAGAGTGCCATGACATAAGTCCCCTTTGCAGTAATTAAATTTTAGTTAATTCATTAATTATTTTTGAGAAAATATATCAGTAATATGGAGTGACGCGGAGTTGGATTCCCATTGCAGTTACCAGTTTGGAGCTGTTAGGTGAAGTATAATCAGGGAAAGCTGTAACAGTCCTATTGCACGGTCTTTACAGACTTTATAAATGGGAAGTGCTGAATACAGACACGGGAAAAGCTTCTTCCCCAACATTTACCAGAGTAAATATCTGAAACCTCAATTCAATAATTTAAATGTTTGAAAAGTGTGAATCAAGTTTTGATGTTTTTACATGGTGTGCAGGTAATTGAATACATTCCCTTGTTTGAAACAACATGAATTTTATACCCTATGCAGCCAAGCAAAAACAAAACATTTTGAGGTAAATAATAAGTAAAACAGAAAATACTGGAAAACATCAGAAAGTCAGACAACATCCGTGGAGCGAAACAAAAGTCAATATTTCAAGGTGATTGTTTAATTTTCCATCATCTGCATTACTTTACTTTTATATCAGTGTGAAATTAAATCCTTGATCCATTCTCCTGAAATAAAGCACAGTTCTGAATCTAAATTTATGCTTCGGTGAAAAATACAAATCACAATGCTAAAATGGCGTTGTGAACCTGGCTTAGGTAGTACATAATGATGTATTGACTACTAAATTGGAGCCATATCACCATTACTTCATCATCTCTCCTGGAACTCCCTTAACAATAGCATTGTATGTGCATGCATTAGCCAAACTGCTGAAGATCAAGAAGGAGCTTACCAAAACCATGTCAAGGGCAATGAAAGATGACCAACAAATTCTGGCCTTGCCAGTATTATTCATATCCCACGAAAGAACTAAAGGTACTGTGTCTGACACAACTGAATGAGGGAAATAACTTGCAACTGCATGGTATTCTATGCCAGAATGCCCGAATGTGCTTAATGGTCACTGAAGTCCTCTTAAAGTGTAGTTACTTTTATAGTGACCAATATGCACAGTACACAGCCCAACAAACAGCACCAATACTTAATAATTTATCTGTATTGGTTGAGGGATAACTGTCAGCGACACGTTTGCCTTACATATCTTTGAAGTGTTCGTGAAATATTGGGAAGGCCAATGTAAAGTAAAACTGCATACTGAATCTAGAGAACACTTATGACTGGTGCCTAGGGAGGACATTTGGAGATGTGCTAGAACTTGTCAAGACCTTTAAAAGTATACAGGGCTCTTTCAGGATATATGCAACAAAAGCTAGACAAGAATAAGAATAAGAGTCTGTGTGAGGGAGGGTGGGAGTTTTGACAGGAATGTCAGATTGCACTGAGCATCAGCACTCAGCACTCCTTCCTGATTATCATGAATGTTGCAACTGAGAACATGAGGCAGGAAATATCAAGTCAATGATATTTGCAAAGGGCATTGAGCTATGTGGAGAGGATAATGAGAACATGACTGAGTTCTGAAGAATTGGAGAGAAATGCTGGAAGAAGTGAGAATGAAGATAACAGAACATAGGTTGTCGGCTTGAGCCTAGGAAATTAAATCAAAGTGAAGCTGTAAAGATAATGGGAAAGATCTGGAGAAGGCGAAGAGTTCAAAGTATTTCGGATCAATGATGGCAGAAGATAGAAGAACGAAAATTGAAAATAAACAACAGATTATTTCTGGTTGGAGTAATTGGATGAAATGCAGCATTTGGGGATGGCACGGTGGCTCAGTGGTTAGCACTGCTGCTTCACAGCACCAGGGACCTGGGTTCGATTCCACCCTTGGGCGACTGTGTGGAGTTTGCACATTCTCCCTGTGTCTGAGTGGGTTTCCTCCAGGTGCTCTGGTTTCTTCCCACAGTCCAAAGATGGGCAGGCTAGATGGATTGGCCATGCTAAATTGCCTGTTCAGGGATGTGTAGATTAGGGGGATGGGTCTGGGTGGGATTCTCTGAGGGTTGATGTGGACTTGTTGGCCCGAAGGGCCTGTTTCCACATGGTGGGGATTCTATGATATTGTTGTGTGATACATAACTGTGACTGAAACTGAAAGAAAGAATCTGTATGACCAGCTCTGTTATGAAGCACAGAAATGGGGGCAATGTCAACAAGACACTAACAACTGAATACTCATGAGATGCAAAGACGAAGATTGATGTGTGGAGTAATGAGAAAGGACATGATTAGGAATTAGGACATCGGAGGGTCAAGTAAAGACTTTGGGAGCATCATATACAGTAGCCAAGAAGGGCTTTCGCAAGTAGTGTTTTCGGATTAATGCTGTGTACATGATGCTGAGAGAAAATGACGATTGTGGCAGTAAGGGTGAACAGCCAGAAAATTAGATTGAACTACATATAACAGAAGATGGCAGTTAATGTCGACGCCGCGGCAACCTAGCTGCAAGCAACAATTTTGTTCCCATTTTGGTTCGTTTCTGATTGCAAAATATTTGCAAAACCCACAGTGAGACAAAAGAAAACTTCAATATTATACAAAGAAATAAAATATAATTGCTTTAACACTAGACACGTCTGCGCTACCAGAATAAGCAGACTTTTAAAATAGTTCCGTTTAAATGATTGTATTTTTGCATCTGAAGCAACAAGCTTCGATGAAAGGTCATATATCTCAAACGTAACTGTTTTTTTTTAACATGCTGTTTAGATCTGCTGAATATTTCCAGCATTCGCAGCATTTCGTCTTGTTTGTGTTTCGCATGTACTATATACTGAATGTTTCCGCCCAAAACTAAATATGAAAACGCGACAAGAACTTCACTCATTATAACAAGTTGAAATGGAAGAAGAGCAACTAGCGATACCGATGCGCCCAAAATTCCCTCGCCCTGGGTTCCCGCAGATTTATATTCCTATTCATAAAGACGCCCATGAAATGAGATTAACGGTTGCGTAAAACATCAATTTAAAGCAGTGGCCAGAGGAAAGTTGGACAGACAGCAGATCGGGGGAGCCTAAAAAGTCACCTTTCGACTGTGGATCGTTCAGGTCGCGTTTGACTGAGGATCCGCAACATATAAAAATTAAATTATTTGTTCGCTGCACAAAGACTGACTGATATTTTTTCAGTTTATTTTGTTTTAAATTTTCAACACTTCATAAAATAAAATGAAGACAACAGCAAGATTGTAAATGTATTGTAATGCTAAAGAGGTTGTGAGAAGATAAACATATACGTATTTAACAAGCGTGAGACAATGATAAGATCGTATTGACTCCAAACTGACTGATCTAGTGTCACTTCCAGACTGTGCTCAATCTTCTGAAACTTTAAATATGTAGTGAAGTTTGTCCTTGCTGAATTGGCAACGTTCCTGATCACAGGATCAAAAACCCCTCGGCCAGTAAATGAAACTATCTGTCCACTGTTTCACAAATAACTTCAGAATTTATTCGTGATCAAAAAATGCAAGTTAATTTGAACCATGCAAACAATATCCGAGATAAGCATTTGTAAAAAGCCAACTTCCCTATTCCTACCGTTGCAGAAGTGCCTGGAGCAAAATGGTACTTGCCAAAACACTACGTGCACAATTCTAGGCGAATGCCGGGTGAAATGCTCACGAAACGAAATCCAATGTTAAAAACGAGAAAGGAGAGAACATGAACCCTTGTTGAATAAAGGGAAACACGTTTCCATTATTGAAAAATAATTTGCTTCCTGAGTTAAATTACTAATATACGGTGCGGCGAAAATATACTTCAAGGAAGTCTACATATTAAAATTCACATTTCCCAGTATTCCAAAAAGTCCTTACCTGTGCGGCCTTGTTTCCTTGAATTTACTTGTCACTGTCACAGGCTGAACTGATCATATTAAAAGATAATTAATGAAGGGTCCGTTTTTGATGCGAATTAAAATACAGAATAACCATGCGTATCTCAACATAAAAAGGGCACTGGAGAAAGAGCACCGCACGATCAACAATACCTCAGAGGGTGTGTTTTAAAAGAAAAATAGCCCACACTATTTCAGCTCCGCAAACGTGTGTTGAAAATTTTAACTGCTATGGACACTCGATGCTGGTTGAGAGAATGAGCTGTAGGCAGTTACTTCCTCTTTCCATCTAGAGTCCAATCCCCATTCTTACTTCCTCGAGTCACTTCATTCCAAAAACTTCCTCCTTTCATAGAGTCAGCAACTGATAAGACAAATTGTGGCATAAAATTTACAATTACAACGTTTACAATTACTCCGATACGTTAGTTTCGTTTCTTAAAAAAAAAACAAATAATTGGAATTTAATCCAAATGGTTACTGAATAAATAAAAACTATTCTCGCAAGCATATTTCATTAACAGGTCATGTTCATGACCGCCTGTGAAGATATTATGTTCTAAGAGATTTATGTTTTCGAGCTTCAAGTGTTTTTGTTTCTATAAATTAGCAAACAATTTTTAATTGGTCACTGCGAGAATGATAGCATCCATTAGTTAAATACGATTTTTGCAACAGCGTTAAGACGGCTTTTCAGGATCTAAGTGATTCTCATAGAGTCACATTTGTATTATCTGTGTCAAATTTTGTCGATGTGGCGATGATAGGTAATATTTTAAATTAACCTGAACCATTAAAATAATAACAGCTATGATTCAGTTGGTGACATCCAGGTTTAATTCCAGTTTGGAATTCGAGCAAACTGTATATGCCGACACTTAGAATCTGTGTTGCATGACGAGAGTTGATGTCTTTCAGATCAAATGTTAACCTGAGGCCCAATCTGTAAAACATCTCAAAACTACACCGTGGTGTATCGAGTGCGCACCCTGAATGTGCTGCACAGGTGTTGCACATATCATGAAGATATCAATTTAAATAACCCCCTTAACATTAGAAAATGACAAACGTTCAGTTGTGTGCAATGGAGTCAACAACCACTATCGCTTGCGTTAAACGGGTTGATTACCCAAGTACAGGAATCATCGCTGCCATGAGAACCGAACTATTCTGCGCATGCGTGCCAACTTGGGGCGGGATTAAACTCCTGCCGACACAATTCTCTCCGCACTGGAGCTGTACCTACGCAATGATGTTCTGATTGAGAAAGAACTGAGAGCAGTTTGCTTTCCCATTATGAATCGCAGTCTAATGTTGCAACGTTGTACGGATTGGCAGCCCTGTGTATTGATAACTGAAGGATGAGAATTTAAATTTAAAAACAATGCCAAACTCTATTCTTTTAGACCCGACCAAGCCAAAGACCTTCGAGTGCTGTCAAATGCAATCCCCAAAACTTGCAAAATCTACAGACTCCAGTTCCCATTAACACTCAATTCTCTCTACTGCTGTCATAACCTAATCAATTTGGAACTATTTTCTAATCAATATGTTGGAAATGTTAGTGAACATCTCTGGAACATGTGGGACTGCTTAGATAGGTTAGGATCAAGATCCTGCCATATAGGCACTGCCACCCGTATTAAGTGAGATGAAAGTGGGTGACAGAGCTATTAGTGCTGCAATTGGGGAAAGCTGGCACTGTCTATTGAGTGAGGGGTAGGCTTTATTCTTTATTCATTCACAGGATGAGGGTGTCGCTATCTAGGCAGCATTTATTGCCCATCCCTAATTGCCCAGAGGGCAGTTAAGAGTCAACCACATTGCTATGGGTCAAGAGTCACATGTAGGCCAGACCAGATAAGGATGACAGTCTCCTTCCCTAAAGGACATTAGTGAGCCAGGTGGATTTTTCCCTGACAATTGACAATGGATTCACAGTCATCATTAGATTCTTAATTCCAGATATTTATTGAATTCAAATTCCACCTTCTGCTGTGCTGGGATTCGAATCTGTGTCCTCAGAATGTTGTCTGGGTCTCTGGATTAAAAGTCCAGCAATAATACCATTAGGTCATTGCCTCCCCCAAACAGAGGCATGCAAGGTTAGTGGTGTGGGGTGTTGTGATGTGTGTTAGCGAGTGAGAGAAGATATTGCAGGCAAAGTAAGAGTGGTAGAGTATGAGCCATGGTTGGAAATGTGTGCAGTAACCGAGAGAAGATGATGGCACTTACGCTGGCAGAGTGAAGCAGGCCATTGACCTTCTTCATACAGTACTGAGCATTCCTTCAGAAGGCTGGGACCTTATTGACCCTGGTGGCAACGTTGCAGATTGTCAAGGTTTGGGGTAGTGGTTTCTTCCACTGGTCCTAGGGAAAGTGGACTGCCCTCCTCTGCACTACTCTATTCAACAGATCCTTGGGTTCCTGTCCACAAGGTGAAGAACTCATAGAATATGCATTGGCATCCACCTCCAACCTGTCTTCTATTTCATATTGGGTGGATAAAGTGTCAGGCAGCCTACCAAACTTGAGATGTAGTGGTAGGACCTTAAGCAGCTAATTGATTAGTCTATAAGTGCTTTATTTCACTACTGCTGCTAAAAGTGCCACACTAGCTGGGAAATCTGGCAGCTTTTACTGGGCAAACTGATATCAAATAGTATCTTCTTTGGAGGCCAATGGCGCCCAATGGAGCTGTCCCTGGCAAAAGTCATAACTTGCTTTTATGTCTTTTCTACATCAGCCTCTTGAAGAAGCCCACCCCCACTCCCAAAGCATCACTCCCAGCCAAGCCCCACTGACACCCAGAACCTGCCTTGAAATCCTGATGCATTATTATCACTCAAACTGGCATTATTGGGACTACTGAGATTCCAGACAACTATACTGACTGGCAGCTCTCTTAGGTGAGACATTGTTCCTAAATGGGAGTGAAAATCTCATCCTGAGATAGTGCTGCTCCTTGCATTAAGTAGATGAGGGCAAGACATTTTGTGTTTAACAGATTTCCGACTGACTTTTTAGTTAAGGATGGGATTGTTGAAGAAAATATACAGTTTTTCTCATCAACCTGTCCTGTGATGTAGTTACACATTTCTGGAGCAGGTGGGACTCGAAGCCAGGCCTCCTGATACAGAGGTTGGAATATTACCACTACACCACAACAGCCCCACACACACCTCAAAATATCTAGCTCTTTAGCACCGAGAGCCTTTTCTAGTAAAGTAAGACTCCATTGTGTTGTGTTATAACCCTAGGTGATGGTCAAACAAGCCAGATCCCAGAATGAAATCAAACTTAATTTGATGTATGTTTAATTTTTTGGTTTAGTTAGTTAACTTCATGGTTAGTCTCTGAAACATATTTCCTTTAACAATGGAACAGAAGTTTATCACATAAAAGAAGAAAGCTATCTAAACATGGAAACCTTTTAGATTGATATTAAAAGACAGCAGGGCAAAGTTTCACTCTGTTTCCTTACACTATCCATTCCAGAGACACTCAAAGTTGGTGAAATTACATCAGGTCTTAACTCTATATTTACTCAAATGATTCCTTACCCTTTCTGTCATGTGAATTATTGAGACAATTTGGCGAGTCTTTTCTAAGTCCGTCACCATGAAGTTTTCACAAATCTGAGAACCTAACCAACCCATCTGGTTTGGAAGCTTGCACAAACTAAAACATTCCTCTGAGGTGCTATTTTCCCCAAACTACCCTGAGCTCCTGTTAGAAGAGAAACAAGTCTTGCATCCAAACTCAACCCTGATGCTCCTAAACTGAATATTTTTTAAAAAAACTTGCTTAACCCTGAAATTTTCGAAACTGAAAACAAAGCTAATAATCTTAAATGTTTCCTGTACCAGTTGTAAACACAACAATATAAGTATCTTTCTACTGATACCACTGGATCTGCAGTCATCTGCTTTCTCATAAAATATTGGATTTAGGCCACTCTGACCTTACTTCAAAGGAAAAAAGAACAAAGAAGCAGCAAACACCTATGTCATTCTTTTTTGAAACTCAAATTCCAAAAATACACACAGGCAGGCAGGCAGAGACAGACAGACAGACAGACAGACAGACACACACACACACACACACACCAATTATATTCTTTTCCTCACAGGAGTTCTCAGATTGTAACATAGTAATTGTCTTAAAATTAACTCTTTCAAGTTAAAACAAAATGTAATGAAAACGCTCCTGAATGAAGGAGTTAAAATATATTGTAATATTTATTAAGAATCCTAGAATAGAATTAAAAGTTTCACAATCTTGGTGAACAGTTTGCATTTATAAGACAATAAAAACATAATGAGCCAAACAGCCCCTTAATCTTGTTGTACGATTCAATAAGATCAGGCATGATGTTCAATATCAAATCTGCTTTCCAGTGTGATTGCATATCCCTGGATTCCCTTAGAATTAAAAAAAAACTATTGTTTGCAATATAGACAACTGAATATTCCCCTGGGCCAGATAATTCCAATGTTTCACAGCTTTGGGAGTGAAGAAATTTATCCTCATTCCAGTCATCAGTAGTTGGCCACTTATCCTAAGTTTATACCCACTTGTTTTAGATTCTCAAGTCCAGGAAAATGATCTTTCAGCATTTACCCAATCAGGCCCGATCAGAATTTCATGTTTCAATGTGATTGTCTCTCTTTGTTCTAAATCATATAGCGTGTAGGCCTGTTGCGCTCAATATCACTCAGAGAATAAACTTACTGAACCAACAACCAATCTAGTGGACCATTATTGCACCTTCTCTAAGAGAACTGCATCCTTCCTTAGGCACAAAAAATAAAACTGAACAGAAGCCTTCAGGTGTGGTCTCACCAAGCCTTGCACAATTGCAACAAGCCATCTTTATTCTTTGCTCTAATCCCTTTGCAATAAAGTCCAGTATGTCGTCAAAGTTCCTAAATAATCACTTTAGCTGCATGATTCATTTCTGTGTATCATAAACAAGGACATCTACGTCTATCTGAGCGTTTACACCAGGCAATTTCTCAGCATTTAAACAATTTTAAGTTTTCCAGTTTCCTAAAGAAAATGAATAATGTTACTTTTCCCCAAGTATGCTCCATCTGCTACCTTCTTGCCATTCATCTATTTGTACATTCAGAAAAAGCAGTAAGGTGGAGTTGATCAGCCATGATCTTATTGAATGGTAGAGCAGATTCAATGGGTCAAATGTTGTGTAAAGAACACAAGAGTTTTTTTTAATTG